TTAAATATGAAAACGTACTTACAGACTGTGAGTCAGAACAGCCGGCATTGTAGTCTACTCTACCAGGATCAGGAAACAGTCCTCCATAAAATGCGCTGCACACATCTGAATATTTGGGTTGAACTGTTCTGGAACAGTGTTGTAAATACAACTTAACCACTGATTTCTAGTTGTGTCCTCTTTTGGAAGGTCAAACAAAGTATTTTCGCTTTCGCAAGAAAACACACAGTGTCTTCACAGCATGGCTGCGGCGGTGGCAGCAACAATAAAATTACGCCTTCTTTCTTTGCATAAACATTTGGGCAGCGTTATGTAAATCTTCCCACATCATGACGTAGACATGTGGGGGCGTGTTTAAATGAGGCGTTTTAGGAGATTGTGAACGAGTCTTAACTTTTATAAAGAAAATCTCTTTGGGTTTGAGACTTTAGTCTTTGCAACTTTAGGGATCTTAACTATTCACGAACAGTTGTAACACTCCAAAGAGAAAGGAAAACTTGAAATCGTATTATATGACCCCTTTAATCATCCAGCAACGAAAATTATTAGTCTGATTAGTCATATAATTTTAAATAATATTCATGCAGGGCTTAAAGTTCTCCGGTGTGCAGCATTTGGCTGCAGAAAAAAATAATCCTACATTTAAAAAAAACTTGTTGATATCACTTTCGAGTCCATGATTTCGCCTACCAATGGTATGAGAGGAGCACAGCTTTCACTCTTAACCAAACTAACATTACTAGCCAATTAGAAATTTTGCTTTTATAAACACAAGACGTGCATAATAGTATCCAGTGTTGCCAATTTAGCGATTTACCTCTCTCTCTGCGTCTGCTCTGTTCAATATAAAGCAGGATTTTTGTGCAGATTAACGTCTTGGAAGGGAGAGCTGGTTATGCAGCCTTAAAGGGCCGCATTTCAGTCACTATTTCATATTTATTCTGTTGTCTGACAACAGAAACAGTAATACTGTATATATAAATGAAAACAGTTTTATTGAGAATTTGGTTGCATTAAAAAAATACAGTATGTAAGCACAGAGAGACAAATGTAAAAGGCAACAGATGCGATGACGTCATGGATATGCTAATTAGCGCATGACGTCATCTGGCAACATTTAGCAACTTTTCAAACTGGCTTTAACTACTTTTTATTGAAAGAAGTTGGCAACACTGCTGCAGAGTCGCAGCCCTGATGAATGGAGAAGCGTGACACGTTGAAAAAGCTGCGAGGCGCAATGGTCAAAGATGTCCATCTAACACATATTTGCATAGAAAAACTCAGTAAAAAGCAGCGGAGCTTTGTAAAAAGCAGAGTAATCATGTCATCTCCATAAGAATGATATGATTGCCAGAACAAATTTACCGGTATTTTTGAAAAGGTCCTGTTCACACATGATCTCTTAATGGTAACTTACCAGTAGTTTACCAGTAAAGACTGTATGTGTGAAAGGGGCTAATCTCTTCCTCTGTATATGCTGTGAATTTGAATTGCTTAACGTTCATCTGGAAAAATTTGCATTTGCTCAAAATATTTGTAACGTAAATAATTTATAAACCTTTGCCAACACAGGAGAATACATTGTATTTCTAAATATGCCATTTATTGTACTTCGCAATTTCAAAATAAAAGTTTCTGGGTTTGCATGTGGCCAAATATTAAAATTGAATGGATTGAAACATAATTTAATCACGCTGTAAAGTGAAACGTCACCAGGCCGTTAGCGCCCTCTGCAGGTATTTGTTATAATACATAATGTACTTAAGTTGGTTATGTTCATATTATGTATAGGCATATTACATTATGTATTTTAACAGTGTTGTTCAATAAAACCATGTAATTACTTGGTTTTGATACTTTATTTGAGCCAATTATTATTGCCTCATCGTTAGTTTATATATAAATAGTCATACTAAAGCCTGGTTTTCACTTAGGTCTATTTGTGTTACTAAAAAATATCAGATCACTCAGTTGTCAAAATAATCAGTAGATTACTTGATTACCAAAATAATCATTAGTTACAGCCCTAGATTAGTTAACATATTTCAAAATACAACTGCATTGTTTTACTTTTTGTAATTAAGAGACAAATATTTTCTCATTGAAAATTTCTTTAAAATAGTATTAAAATATTGTATTGTTCTAGTGAACCAAGTATCTGTATTTTGTCTCATCTCGTGAGCTAAGTGTATTGTCACACCCTTAGTGTCAATAAGCAGTGATATAGCTCATAATTTTCCAATTGTATGATATAGCTTTCACTCTTCAGGTCAACCACATATTCATGAAAAAAAAAACAGTTTGAATAAGGAAAGCAATAACTTTGCCATAGTATCCTTTCAAATGTTAAAGTTGCCACAGTCGTTGCATGCTTTGCATGTGCTGCCCCATCTCCTCCCCCCGGAAAAAAGTTCAGGATCAGGATTTTTTTTTGCTTTAACCCCTGTTCATGTCCGCATCACCAGTAGTGCAGAACAAGTTACACACTAAAATTAATTCCCTAAACCTAAATATAAAAAGACAGTACAATTCAAAATTTCAAACTAAAAAAAAGTAAGATTTTTTTTCAAATAATTTAATACTTTTATTCCACAAGGATGGATTAAATTCACAAAAAGTGAAAGTAAAGACGTTTAACTCAAACAAATGCTGTTGAACAAATATTTTGAACTTTATATTCCTTAGACAGAATTTTCAAAGGTTAAATACCTCACACAACATCATTTCACCATCTGTGCGTTGCGCCATCCAAACGCTCACGTCTTTGTTGCTGTCTGGAGCTTACAAGATACAGTGATACTTAATGACAGTGCAAAGAGACAAATCTCACTTCAACTTTATAATGGCATAAACATAAACATGCACAAACATGAAAATACACATTTTTTATGTTTAAAAGGGAACATAGACTGTTGTGATGTCTTACTGAATGTGTTAAGTGTGAGTGGAGATGTGTGACTGTAACATCTGAGTCAGCATCTCTCTCTCTCTTTCATACACACACATGCACACTTGCACATGATACACCTACCTAAAAGAATGTTCAGGGTTAATGAAATATTAACATTATCTGTAACACATATCACTGACACTGCTGATATAAATTAACCTGTCTTGAACCCAGAACATTCCTTTAATTACCAACCAAATATAAATGCCATTATATGCTCTTTACAAAAGCAATTAAAATGCTTCCCTTATTATGCATAGACGATCATTACAGCAAAAGAAAAAAAACTACTTAATTTAGATGGTGATTCTCAGCTCTCTCAAAAGGCCATCTGACTACATAACTGCATTAATTTCAAGTAACGCATAATTTCATTCCTTGTTGCCGTAATCAGTTTTGTGAGTGGAAAGTACGTCTCTTGAAATATTGCTCAGCAAGAGACATAGGAAATCATTATTTGGTGTTACCATGAAATACATGTAGATATCTGGTAATAGGAAATCTGTGAGTCAGATTTTTCATACAGCAAACATTTCATGGAAAGAACATGAAAGGAAACTCGCTGAGAAATAATCCTGGTGGAGAATCCACGCCTCGGGCACGGAGTGAGTGTACGTGAGAGAAAAAAAGATATTAAGAGAGAGGGAGACAGCAAATAAGACAGTATGAGCAAAAAACAGCAAAGGATGATGGGATGTATTTTCCTGATTGATTCATATTGTACTGCACACCACTGATTCTCACTGCTGTACATTTTAAAGGGACAGTTACCCAAAATAAGAGTAATTCTATTATTCTCACACTTGTCTTTTTACAGCTCCAATAAAACAGAGAAACTCACAGAAATAATCATAGTTCAGGTTTGGAATGACATGAGGGTAAGTAAATAATGACAGAAGTACTTTTTTTTCAACCCACATGCATTTAGACCACATGACCCAGTAAAACTATAAATAATAATCAACATATGCTGTAGAAATTCTCCCCATCTCTCTCGCTAGTCCAACCTCTACTTATTCTTCCTGCTCTCACCTATCTTTCCATCCTTGCTTTGTGAAAAATGCTAACACACAGTCACACACACCATCAAATCTCCAATGGGCTGGGTACAAATTCAGCAGTCGTAAAAGCCAGCATTTAGTAAATCAAACAGGGCTGAAAAAGGGTTATCACTGCTCAAGCATGAATAAATATCTGGGTAAGATGTTAACCAGGCTGTAGGCAAATATGTCACTGAAAGTGACAAAAATGCACCAGATATTTAAAATGCTGATGCAAAAAATGCAAGAAATAATAATAATAATAATGTTGAAAAGTAAAACTAATGCTTGCTTAGTTTGAAAAACAAAACTGATAACCTGTTAATAATTAGTCCCACTTTATTTTCTGACATGGACCAGTATTGCCATAATAATACACAAATAGCTCTCATTCACTCCGGACAACCCTCTTGCTTCATATTTCCATACACTCGCTATACTAGTGCCAATTTCAACATATCTAAACATTTCTGAGGGTTAGGTTTATTTTAGTTAAAATTTAGATTGATTTGCATAGAGCTTTTCACAGTGCAGGTTATTTCAAGTCAGGGGAACTCCTCAAGATGTTCAAGTTGATGAAGAAGAAGGTTTAACGACCTATTATATTTTATTTCTTAAGTACCCCAACAGCTACATAAATGATGCTCAAGCACCTATTCATAAGCACGAAACCAGAAAATTGTGCCTAAAACCTATTATTTTTAAACCATTTAACATTATATTTTAAAAGCCACTTATAAATAATCAAGCAATACTGTGTCTAAAACAAAATCACGCTATAAACATTTTTTGTTTTATTTCCTTATTTCCATGTGCCACTTGCAATCTACTTGAACGATGTGTGTGTTGCCATGTACACCAGCAGGTGTGGTGTCTCCCTTGTCCAGATGTAATTGCATGACACTGTGCATTTTGTAACATGTCCATTTACTAGGAAGTACAGACATGGCCCCTCCATCCTAATGTATATGTATTTACACACATGTACGTGAATGCCAGAGGACACTTACCTGCTCTTTTGGCAGGCGGCGCAGATATAGCCCCTCTCGCTCTGACTGTAGGTGCGGCAGGATTTGCAGACGTTGTAGTGGCAGTCCAGACACGGGCGCTTGGGGTTGAGCAGGAAGGTAAAGGGAGAGCAGCAGCGAATGCAGCAGTGCTCATTGAACTTGTGCTGCTTGGACAGAAGCAAACAGCGACTACCCTCCTCCTCCAGCTCCTGCTTCACTTCACTACAGAGAGATGGGGGGATTGGAGAGGAGGGGAGGGGTTGGAGGAGAGCGAATGAGAGAAGGAGTGGGAGGGTTTAAAGGGAGAGGAGGGGGATGTGAACAAGGGGATGGAGAGAGAGAGAGAAGGAGAAAGGTGAGCAAGTGCATCTGAAGGAGAGGTTGAAGGCGCACAGTCATGCAGAATAATTGGAGATTCTGTGAGGAATGAAAAATTAAAGGAAGAATAATTCTGCAGAAGTGTGGGGCATACGGATACAGTCTATTTAACTTCTCTTTGTCAGTCTCTGTTTATTCACACACACAAACAGACACGAATATGTGGATAAAGTCACAACAAAGATGGACTGGGACTGAAAAACGGAACACAGCCCACAGCAGATACCCACTGTATTGCTGCCCTCTGAAATCTAGCGAGCTGTATTGATGGTCACATTTAAAACACTCTTTAATGAAGCTTCAAAACATGTATAAGTCTTTTGCTTTAAATCATTGGTTTGGATTTTGTATCAAACTCGCAAACTCATATGATTTCAGCAACCAAGGCTTTATTATGTCATACTGTTTCGAGCTCTGGGGTACTTCTTAAATGGAAGGCTGTATTCTAGTGAGGATGCATCTTTTAGTCTAGTCCTTCTGAGTCCTGCCCATGGTAACAGCACAAAAAAAATATACTATATTATACTAAATTATAATCTGAGGAATACATTAAATTGAAAATGTATATTTCTTTTGTGGCCTGTTTCTATTACAATATGACTTTCTGTTAATGTAGAACAGGTAGTGACAACCGTCTGTGGTTTCCCTATGATTTACATTATGCACAGTTTAGCATTATGTGATTAATTTACAGCAATAAATAAATAAATAAATAAATGTAACGATTCATCACTAGGAGGCGATGCTCTTGAGAACCCATAAAAATGTACCCCCCCCCCCCCAAATGTTTTTGTTCTATATTTATTATAATATTTTTTCTTTTTTCTCTTGTATTTTGAGATAATTTCATTTTACTAATTAATATTTATGCAATAATTATGATAAATTTCTTCCCATTGAAAATAATATAATTTTTTTTAAATATATATTTTTATATTACTTTTCAATTAATGCAGTATTTCCTGTTAAAATAGTCAATGCCTTTAAAATCTCATTTTTGAAGCCTGATTAGTGCCATCTAGTGGGAGTAAAATAAGAAAAAAATCAGCAATTCCATGGTTTAGCCCATAGATTCCTATATACCTCTATATAAAGGCCTATACATTCTCTAATTGTTTTTAAACATAAATACTTATTTTTATTAAGTTGTGGGTTTAGATATATATTTAAACATTTTCAAAGACAACTTTTTGTAAAGGTTTAGATTTTTTTTTTAAATGTTGATTTGAATCGTCAGTTTTTAAATTATTATTACTACAGTCAAACCTGAACACAGAGAAAGCATTTTGTTACACAAAACATTAAAATTCTATAAAAATGTAACAAAAATGAACAGGAATGTTTTATCAGAGCTTCTGGGTCTGATCTGATTTCAGTTTTCTGACTCGTTTTGGCTATATGGTTATAGCCATACCAATTCATTTGAGTGTGTGTAATTGTGTATGTGTGTATGTGTGTGCGTGTGTGAGTGGATGTGTCTGTTTTGCACTCTTGATGTTTTAAAGTGAAACCCCTTCCTTGCTGTCCACTTCTTTACTGCATTGTAGTTGAATTATTGATTTTATTTTACATATTTGCTGTGTTACAGTCACACCAGTGCAAAGGTGTGTACACGTGTGTGTGTGTGAGTGGATGTGTTGGTTTTGAACTCTTGATGTTTTAGAGTTTCACCCCGTCATTGCTGTGAACTTTTTTTCTGCATTGTGGCAGATTTTTAGATTGTTCTCTGAATTTTTGTGTTTTTGTTGATTTCCCATTCATTTCCTATAGTTGGTCATTTTTGACCAACTATCACAAGTGTGACTATTTCTTTTATGACCACTTAGCCTGCTCGAATCATGCCCTCAATTTGTTTGTGTGTGTTCACATTCCAAATGCCATAAAAGTCACCAAGTATCGTGCCATTCCGATGAAGCTGTGATTTAAAAAAATTCAAAACAGAAAATCTTTTGAACAAAAGAGATTGAAGAGCACCAGAGGGTTAAGTATATTTAATTATTTATAATAACATTTCATAGATTATATTTTTATGAAAATATTTGCAATTAATCACTTTTATTTCTATAGATATACAGATTGTGTCAAAGTATCTTCACAGTGATAAACAGGATAACAACAGATTCAATTATGGAAAATAATTCAGATTGGAGAAATTCAGATTCTGCTGTAAAGCAGCTGTAAAAAGATAATAGTTTCATTATTCAGCTCAATCACTTCAGTGTTGGATCAGGTCTGATCAATAACAATGTGAAGTTCATCAGTTTCATCAATTTGATTAAAAATGAGGACAATTCAGCTATAAGCATTTCTAAAAAAAAAAAGCCATCAATGTTGTTCTTTTTTCAGCTGGAGGCAGTTGAATGTTGATTAAATTCAGTTCAATAACAGTGTAAATGTTGCAAGATGCCACAATAGTGCCATCATCCAGCTTAATTCAGTTCAAGTTTTGTTCTCATCCAATTGTGTCATATCAATAAATTCCTGAAATGTAAGTGTCCTTCAGACCCCAAATAACCTTACAATCTAGCCTTGAGGTCATAAATTTATGAATTAACTTTTCTACAACTGACATTGAGACTATAATGTATGTCATAATTTAGAGACAGATTTAAGATTGAAAAACACAGTTATACAAATGCTAGAAAAGTGACCTTCAGATGACAGATCACTGCTATATAGCACACCCAGGTTCTTGAGTGATGACGAAAACTTGACAGAGTTAAGCATCTAGGCCTAGGGTTAAGCAGTATTCTGTTTTGTGTGTGTGTGTGTGTGTGTGTGTGGAAGTTTTTGATCCAATAATTAAAACCTTTTTTTCTTGAATTTGTATTTTCTTGAATTTATTAAGTTACTAGTCATCTGATTTTTGAGAAGCAGTGGTCCTGAGCCTTGTGGTTCTCCATAAAATTAAAGCATCATAACTTGTGATTGATATGATACCTCTTTATTTATTAGTACAGGGGGCAGTGCAGGGGTGCCTAAATAACCTTAACACAACGCCTAAAAATGTGTTGTGAGACACAGCAACAAGGCAGCGAGATATAGTGCGACTGCCAAGATGCCAGTCTAGCTCAAGTTTATATAGACAAACAATTAAAAAGCAGTGCAATGGAACACAAAATATGGTTTAGGATCTGACTAAACCCGGGTTGTCAGACTTTGTTCTGTGTTTTGTGAGTGTTTAGCCCTTTTTTTGTTATGTTCCTGTCCTGATTATTTCATTGAGTTTATTAGTCTCCACCTGTGTTTGTTTATGTCTACATGTGCTACGTGAGTTTTCCTTGTTCCTTGTTATCATTAAAATTCTCTGGATTGATGTACTCCTCATCTCCCTCTGTTCCTTGCTCCACACTCCACTCAGTAGTGCAACCATGACACAGGTAGAAGGCTGCATAAATAAGGTGTCTATGAAAGAGCCTTTGTGTAGGGTGTGCATCTGTGATCCCATTGAAATGCTGGCTCCATAAGCAGATCACAGGTCAGCCAGCCCACAGGGAAAAGTTCTGATGCCCTGACTCACATGCTCATATACGTTCAGCAAGGCAAATGAGAAATATATTTAGTCTGCCCACCACTACACACATGAGTCTCTGTATTAGCTAAGTGTAAAAAAATCAGCAAGAACAAATGATCATTCCATTAAATTATTCCACTCTGTCTGCCCTGCAACTCTGAAGCTTTGCTTTCATTTTAACATGTTCATATTTTAAATACAGATGCACTGCTTTTGACCAGGATGCCTACAAGCAAGCTGTTACATTCCAGAGCAACATGCCAGACCAGTATCAAGCTTTTTGTTTCAGAGGATTTAGAAAGGGTATTTACCACAATGGGGTCTAATTTATCCTAATTAATTGTGGAAAGCTTAAGAAGCAGACACTGTTAAGCCATGAGGATGAGAAGAGATTTTGAGGGTTTAGGAAACACATGGATGCATCTGAATATACACACGTAATGTGCATAATATTACTTAGAAATCATAAATTAAGACTTTAAAGGGGTCATATGATGTTGCTAAAAAGAACATTATTTGGTGTAATGAAATGTGTTTATGCGGTTTAAGGTTCAAAAACACATTATTTTCCACATACTGTACATTATTGTTTCTTCTCTATGCCCCACCTTTCTGAAACGCGTCGATTTTTACAAAGCCCATCGGTCTGAAAAGCGAGGTGTGCTCTGATTGGCCAGCTATCCAGTGCATTGTGATTGGCTGAATACCTTAGGCGTGTGTCGGAAATGTTACGCCCCTTACCATATTGTGATCCGGAGCGATGAGACAAAAACATTAAAACCCATTATAAATGAGGCATTTGTTGCATCCAGTGGGGACATAATTATGGATTATAATGACTTATACTGTCTTTTACACTTTGCGTTGCATCGCGAATATTTGGGTTGAACTGTTCTGGAACAGTGTTGTAAATACAATTTAACCACTGATTTCTAGTCGTGTCCTCATTTGGAAGGCCAAACAAAGTATTTTCGCTTTCGCAATGAAACACACAGTGTCTTCACAACATGGCGGTGGCGGTGGCATCAACAATAAAGTTATGCCTTCTTTCTTTGCGTGAACATTTGGGCGGTGTTATGCAAATCTTCCCACATAGTGACGTAGACGTGGGGGCATGTTTAAACAAGGTGTTTTAGGAGGGCGTGGACCAGTCTTAACTTTTATAATGAATATCTCTTTGGGTTTGAGACTTTAGTCTTTGCAACTTTAGGGATCTTATCTATTCACGAACAGCTTGTAACACTCTAAAGAGAAAGGAAAACTTGAAATCGCATCATATGACCCCTTTAATTGTTTGAGATAATTCCTAACCTTGGTCTAATTGGATGTT